TCGCCAATTATTTTTGGCAGCGACGGATCAATTTGCCGCCGCGCTGTTCCGGGGCGGCTGCGTGGCGGGTTGTGCTTCGCGCCCTTCGCTGCAGCTCCCTCTCCAGGGGTTGGGGTTCTCTTCCGCATCTCCACGTGGATGTTTGGTCAGACATGCGCTGCGATGGTGGCCGGCGTGCGGGGCATCGTATTTATCGAAGAAAAAACAAGAGAAAACGGGGGGAAAAAAAATAAAAGGATACCACCGTCCGTTATTTTTGCCAGGCAAAGTTCCCGGGAGTTTATTTCTCCTCGCAGGCCTCCACAATTCCAAGTGGCGGCAAAAGCCGCCAAAAAAAAAAAAAAAAAAAAAAAAAAAAATAAATAAATAAAGATGCTGCCCTGCAGAAAACAACAACAACAACAACAAACGGATTAAAAAAAAACAAACACCACTCTTCCTCCCGAGTCTTCCTTTCAAAACCGCTCCCCCCCATCCCCCCCCTCCCCCCCTTTTTTTTTTTTTTGTATGTATTCTCGTTTTTTTTTTTTTTTTTTACAAAAAAATAAATAAAATTGTTATTTGAGTTTTACTTCATTTCAGATGCGAATTGAAAGATAAAAAACACATAAAAATGTGGAAGTAAAAATTTATTAAAATGTGGAGACTGTTTTAACATCTTCTAACACACAGTTTCCACCCGTCGCCCCTTATTTCCCCCCTGACGTGGCTGCTGTTTCACATCTCCCTCATTTGTATTTGATTTTTCCTCACTTGTCTTCTTTTCCCGTCCATCCCCAATCCACGCAGGCGGATCCTTCCTTTTCTCACGTTTTTTCTTTTTTTCTTTTCTTTCATTTTTCACACTCCTCACCGTTTTTTTTTTTTTTTTAGTAGTTTTATTTGTTAAAACCATCGGTCCCTTTACAATGCCAAAGACAGCGACTCCGACCGTTCCTCTTCCAACTCTTTGGTGGTGGCAGCCAAATGTTTCGCCACACTCGGCGTAACACACGCATTCTCGACAAACTGCCACTCACCTCCGCTGCATGTCACGGGGAAGGAGAAGACAAGGCCTGGTGGCACACCGTATGGGTTACCATCGGAATACACAGCCATGGAAACATGTGTCCCCGTTGGCGTACCAAGAACCCAGTCGTGCACTTGGTCAACAGCGGCATTTGCGGCAGAAAGAGCCGAAGAGTTGCCGCGCCACCGAATAATCTCATACCCGCGTTGCTGCACAGTTGTCATAAATTCTCCATCAAAGTACGCGTCATCCTTTATCGCTTCTCGCACAGGGACGCCTCTCACAGTGGCGCTGTTAACATCCGGGACTTGTGTACCGCTGTGGTTTCCCCAAATAATACAGTTCTTGACATCTCGAACATGAGCATTGGCTCGCTCTGCCACAAGCGCAAGCGAACGGTTGTGGTCCAGTCGCGTAAGCGCCGACACGTTCTTCGGCTTGATTTTCCCGTTCGAGGCATTCAAAAGAACAAGGGCATTGGTGTTGACAGGATTGCCCACAACACACACGTGGCAGTCTTTACTGGCCAATTCACCCAAAAGACGCCCATGTTCTGAAAAAATTGCGGCATTTTTCTGCAGGAGATCCCTCCGCAGCGTGCCGGGTTTGGCCGGAAACGAGCCACAGAGAATGGCGATATCAACATTCTCAAAGGCCACCGCCGGTTTGTGCGTGATGACAACACGGTCCAGCAGTGGGAAGGCACAGTCCATGAGTTCCGCACGTATCCCCTCAAGACATTTCATGGCGGGCTCAATATCGAGCAGGTTCAGCTGCAGATGTTGATTGGGACCCAACATGCGGCCGCCGGCAATGAGGGGGAGTAATGCGTACCCAACTTGGCCGGCCGCCCCCGAGACGACCACCTTCGCGCATGCACCTTCAAAAAACATTATTAAATCGCTTTGTTCTTGCTTGAAATAAATGACTTCTTCTGCCCGCAGTAAATTCGTTTCATTTTTTTTTTGTTTGTTTTGTTTGCGCCAATTCGTCCCGGGCGGGGCAAAAAAAAAAAAAAAAAAAAAAAAAAAAAAAAAGGAGAAGGAACCATTCATAAAAAAAAAAAAAAATAAATAAATTCATTTTTTATTTTTTTTTCTTCTCTTGCCAGGGCCGCATTTCCCCCACAGGAGGAGGAGAAATGGCACAGAAACTCTCACGATGCACACACATCACCAAAGCGCAGCACGGAACGCACCTCCTCTGCGTTGGACGGGCATTCAACCAGCAGCGTTCGCGCAACACACTCAATGCGTCCGCAGACATCAAATTCCACCTCGTCGTAAAAAGAGAACAAAACATCCTTGCCGTTGGCCGCAAAGACGGAGCGCACCCCGATGACACGCGGGCTATTGAAAACACTCCATACCTGCGGCTGCCCTACACACGTCCACCGCTCCGTCACGGTCGCATTCTGCGCCGAAATCTCGATAGCGACAAATTGCGCAGAGGCCAGTCGCTTAACGGCGCGGTCATTACCATAGCGTAGAACCAGCCTGCAGTAGGGACTCAGTCGCTCCTCTACGGAGCTTGCGGAACGGGCCTGCACCACAAAAAGTGCGGCCTGACGCATTTCCTCCGGGTCAGGCAATGCCTGCACGGCCTCCAGCAGCGCCTGCGCCTTCGCCTTCGCCTTCACTTCCCCCGTGCCGTGGGCCAACGCGAGCGAGTCACATGTACGTTGCAACACACGGCAACTTGATGCACGAGAAATCCCTTGAAGGGACTCTACCCACTGCAGTACCATATCGTCGAATGTGGCCTTCTCCATTCCCCTGATTTATGCTAGAAAAAAAGAAAAAAAGAAAAAAAAAAAGGAGGGGAAAAAAGTGCGTACCGCACAAAACTCTCTTTCCACCCCATATTCCGCACGCAGACAAGCACCAAGCGTCCCCTTCAGTTATTTCTGTATCAATGGAATAAAAAAAGCATAAAGTAATTCAACTGGCATTGCAAGGAGAGACGCATAACCCTTACTTCTTACCGGCGGCGGCCTTGGCCTTGCGAGCAGCGCGGGCCTTCTCAATGCGCTTCTTGGCGGCTGGCTTGCTGTCAACCTTCTTGGCGTTTTTCTGCAGCTTCTTGAGTGCAACCTTGTGCCAAGAGACGGGTTTCTTCTTGTCATTCTCGTCAAAAACCTTGCGCGTCCAGAAGGCACGAGAGCGCTTGGCGACACGCAGCTGATAGCGCTCAAAGTCCGTCGACCTTGCAAACGCCCTCTTTGCTGCAATGCGTCTAGCGGACTTTGTGGCGGCGTACTTCTCAAGAATTTTCTTTTCCGCGAGCACATTCTTCAGTGTCCGTGTGCTGCAGTTGCGGCTCAATTCCACGCTGAACTTCAGCGGCTCAACGTTCTTCAGGTTCTGCACGTGGCGCCACATCTTTTTGTCTGCGGGGTTCTCCACAAGCACACGGTTGCCGTCGATGATGTCAACAACAACGCCGACGCGGTCCTGACGGGGGCCGCGGATGATGCGCACCAAGCGCCCTGCGCGAATATAGTTCGCCTTCACCATTTGGGACCTTTTGCTCCTTTCTGCCTAACGTGTTGGAGCGCAGAAGAAGAAAAAAAAAACAAACAAACAAACAAACAAAGAGATATTGTTGGTATCAAGCGACGGTAGCACTCACTTCACACCGTAATGCGTCTTTGCAAAGTGGTGGGCAATAACTCCGTAAGCCACCAAAATGCGTTTTTTTTTTTTTCGTTTTAAATTCATGAATGCGCGCACACCGCAAGCATACATAGATACATAGAAATATATATATATATATAGTAATAAGGAGGGAAAGAGAAAATAAATAAAAGCGGTGGAGTAGCGGCGAAAAAAAAAAAAAAAAAGCAAAAAGAAAAGAGGTCATACAAATAATTAAACAGGTCAAAACAGGTTGCTTCAGAGTTAGATTACATGATATTTCCCATCGTCGCATTCTATCCCTTTTCATGTGACATTCCATGGGCATTATATATACATCCAAATTACAAATTTTCACCTCTTGTTATGATGGTCTCTGCGAGTTACAACAGTAGTCTGTTGTCAAATTCAATCTTTTTTTTTTCTATTTCTCTTTTCTCCCACGTTTTTTTTTTTTTTTTTTTTTTTTTCTGTTCGGCGTGTGTGTCTGTATGCCTGCTCCGTTTGCCGTTGGTGCTGTTCGTGCAAATTCGTTTTGCGTCTTTACCCCTGTGCCTCCTTCACATTCACTCCCTTCCTCCTCGGTTCCCTGGCGTTCTATATGGCGAGTGCGCAGACGCAGGCAGCACCCATCAGCTGCCAGTAGTCTGACTCCTTCTCTGTCGGCACTTCGATGGACAGCACGTAGTTGGAGCTGGCACCCAGGGAAGAGATGACACCCGCCCGCACCACAGTCCGGTACAAAGGCACGCAGTGCCACCCGGGGCCCATCTTGTGGTGCGGCTCTGGCAAAAAGTGAACCACCGGTAGTGAAGCGTATGGCTCGCCGGGTAATGAGTCCGCCATGACGCCGCGCGTTCCGTCCCATCGCCATGAGTCGGTGAAGATGCCGTACACGTAGCAGCCGCGCTCCGGTCCCGCCTCAATCCTCGCCACCTCCTCGTCCATCACCTGGAAACTGAAACCCAACTTGTCAACGGAAACTCCTTCCGCACGCGAAAAGGCCTGAAACACACCGGTCATAAAGGCACTCGGATTGAAAAAACCTCCAATCCAGAAACAGGCGGGCTCTCCGTTCTGCACCCACGTGCGAATAAACTGCACCCGCTGCAAAAAGTCACGGTACCACGAGCCCAACGGCTTCAAGGAAGTATATCCCACCGCGCTCCAGAGGCGAGGGACTTGGTCTGTCAAGAAGGACTCATACATCGCATCAAGATCCGCGGAAAGTAACGTAAGTCCTCTTAAAGCCTTTTGTAGGTCATGAATTGATTTGCGCATCGCTGTAATTAATTTGTTGTACTTCACCATCTCGTGGGCCAACACAGTAGACATTGAGTTAGGAAGGCCACTCTCTAACGTCGTGAAACTTTTTGGCCCGGCCTCTTCACGTAAAAGAACTTCCGGGAGTGAGGCCTCAAACTCCTCACATTTTCGCTTTACTTCTTCTTCAGGCGTGGTGGCCGCGCCACCCTCAGCCCCGGTGCTGCCACCACCCCCACTTCCAATACGTGGCTGGGTGGAAACGACGGTGCTCAACAGATACTGAGAGACCTGCAGCTGATATCGAAGATTTGCGTTGGTGTGCATACCAAATACCTCAGGCTCATCCACAAGCGACATTTGTTGAATATGTTCCATAAAGCTTGATAGACTTCCAGCCGGTGGGGCGTAGTAATGACCGCTAGAGCTAAACTTGAAATCGTTTTTCATGATGTCGGGGCGAAGGTAAGCACGTAGAATTGTCTGCAGTATGCCACGGTCCTGAGGGTCTGTCACACGACCACCGTAGTTAATTTGGCCAATGATGTACTCAAGGGACTCCCACGGTATGACATCTTGCTCCTCAAAGAAGAGACGCAGCCACTGCTTTGACACGTGGAAATCGGTGTCATTCCACTCATAACGCACATTCCATCCAAGTGGACCAAATTTCTTTCGCTCCAGTACAACAGAGTGGAAGAAGCATAGACCGTAGAGCAACTTCTTAAAGGCTGTTCTTTTGGAGTATTTGCCCATCCGCTGCTCGTCACCAAAGACCTCAAATTCCTCCTCGGTGATTTCGCTGAAGCAACGGACCATGTTTGCCTTGAGACCCGTCGGTGGCTCGTTCGTCAGCTTGATGCTGTTCTGCAAGACAAAGATGGGGAAAAAGTCGGTTGGCATCGACGTCAACCACAGACGGAAGTCGGCATTGATGTTGGCGCCATGCTGCTGCAGTGCGGCTACCTGAAGCTCTAATTCGGGCATGAACGTTTTCGACAAGTGACAGTTCTGCAACAGCGCCCAGGAGCCGTTTTTCCGGCACGTGGCAATAAGACGTTTGGCATTTTCGCCCTGTCCCTGACCGAGCGAGACGTATTGCAGAGACCGCCCTTGACTTTGTGCGAAGTTCTGCAGCGCCCCCATTGGATCCGCCCCCTGCGAGAGAATGAACACAATGGGCACCGTAGGGGAACTGTCGGATAACGCCACCTCCAAACTGAATGGCGGCGGCTCCACAAAACGCGGCCCCATCGTGCAACGCACATAGTCCGTCAGTGCAAAAAACAACTTTTCCTCACGAAAGCAGCGAATCAATAAAATCCGCTGAAAGGCGTTCAACTTCTCGCTCCAGTTGCCCGGCAATTCGGCATCTTGGGGCGCGTCCGACTGAATGAACTCTCTCCATGAATCCGTATCATCCACCAGATGCCCCTCCAGATTGCGGAAACAAGACACACTGCGAAAAAGTGCAACTGTGAGTTCCCACTGTTGCCGCGATAGAAACGACAGACCCGGTGGCAGCGGCGGCAGCTCATTGGGTACGAGAGCAGAAGCCCGGATAAAGTACTGCCACTCATCCTCCATCAATCTGCGGCTGTGACGCTCAATGGCGGTACAAATAAGAAGTGAAAGGATTGTTTTATCCTTGTTGAATAAACCACGACAGACCTGCTCGTATGTGGACAATGTCAGCCTTAAAATAATGTTTCCAAGATGTCTTTGCAGCATCACCGGGTTTTCTTCCGAGTAATCTGCCGGTTTCTCGGTCGCCAGCACCTCATGCTGGACCAGCTTCACAAAAAATTGCAAAGAATACTGGTACATGGGATCAATGCGGGAAATGTCGGCAAGGACGAAAAAGATCACGGAGGCACGTACCGCCACGTCACGGTAACGGTCACGTGTTGAAGTAATAATTTTCATCTTCTCATTGGCTTCCTTTTGATTCTCGCTAAGAACCCGCGCATTCGATTGTGCCGACTTCAACTCGGCGATTAGATCGCTATCGTCCAGTATGTTCCCTTTGGTGTTCTTGAGTTTGCCAAGGATGGTCTCCTCAATAACCTTCAGCTTCTTCTGTCCAATTGAGATGCTTTGAATGATGCGGTTTTTCTCCTCCTCCAGCTCACGTTTTTCAATAGCAACAACCTCCCCCAGCAGCTGCTCCTCCAGACCGTCGAGAGTAACAGTGAAGTTAAGAAGCGTCACTTTGGTGCTTATGTCCGGCAGATAACTTGGGTTCGGAAGCTTTGTACAAATGAAGAAGCGAAAGTTGGGGTTGTAGTCAATGGCGCCAGACTGGGCTGTCAGTTTAATTTGAGGTGAGGCCCCTTCTGCGGCAAAGATACGCCTAGAAAGGAGCGGTTCTAGGGCGGGGTCGAGTGTTTCACCCACATCGTCTAATATCACCACACCACCGAGGCGTATTTGCGTCTCAAGGGTACGAATCCACGTGGGCTCCGTTAGTTTAATGACTTTCACGGCAGCGGTGACGGCATTTCTTGTGAGATTTTTTGCCGCCACCGCCCCTCCAACCCCCGCGTACTGCTGCAGCAACCACTTCAATCCCTGCTCCTGTGGATCAATGAAGAGCGGCCAGCGACGCGGCGCCGTGGAGAGGGAAGCCACAATGGCGTTCTCCGTGGAGCTCTCATCCGTTGGCAGCCCATTGATCTGCCACGTGAGAATGTCCATGGGGTCGCCCAGCGTCTTGGTCAGGCTGAACGCCGTCACATCGAGTTCATGTTCCTTCAACTTCTCCAGCCATAGTCCAACAAGATGCTTGCGGAATCGGGGAGTGAAGGCACCAAAGTACGCCGCGCACGCGCTCGCCATGAAGGACTGAAGCGGAAGCAATTCTATTCGCTCTTGCAGTTGCTGAATATTTTCTTCCCAACGCACCCCCTCACTCTTAAGTGAGCTTGACAAACTCTCCGCATTTTCAAGGCGTCGGATGCACACTTTCAGCCCTTCCTCCAAGTCCTGTTTCCGTTTAAAACTAGTCTCATAGTTCTTTTGCAGCTCCGCCAGTTCCTGCTCCACAATAATAAGTTGCTCTTGAGCTTCATGCAACTTTGCATTTGTTTCCGCTAAGTGTCGTTCTGCCACTGCTGCCGCCTCACGCATCGGTGCAACCTCCTTCACCACCTTGGAGTATTCATTCACGGCATGTACCCAGGCGCAAAGGCTGCCGCATGTCTGGGACCCTTTTAGCGAACAAATCTCGACCGTGAATTCCTCATCATTGACGTACTTCTGAATCTTGTTCAAAATGGAAGGCTTCACATTATCGGTGGGGTATCCACGGATCATGTCCAGCAACTGACGGTACGATAAAAACTCGCGTGCCCCCTTCCAATCCGTGTTGCCAGACCACGCTC